ATGTTTTTAGCAAACTGATTTATGAATAGATTTCTGAAGTACTTTTATCACTTATCGATTTTTCTAATGTCAAAATTACCCGACCGAAGCTGCTACCTCGACGTGGTGGTCGGGCTTGCCTATCGTGGTGACCCAACCGAGCTATATTTGCTGGAACTCATGTTCTTGAAGGTTCTACCATGCCAGGCAGGTCGATTGGAGAACGATGAGACTAAATGCAGCTACCCAAGGTCTGAGAGCGAAGTCGTACTGCTGACTGCAGAGGTGTGACAGCAGTAAGGTGTTTCCCCCGGATAACTAGCATCTGCAGCGATGCTGCCTTCTCACAAAGAAGGAAGGATTAGAAAAGGTCGACCCTAAAAATGTCACACCTCACCCTACCTCACGGATTTCCGTCTCCTTGGGTAAGGGTGCCCACTAAGGGCCTTTAAGAACGGAGCTAATCCTCAAAAACCCTTCATAAAAAGGCCGTGCGTGACCGGCCTGAAGCAGTTGTCCGTTAGGCTCTGCGGTCACGCACACAGGTCTCCAAGACCAACACTAATCTATCTTCTTTTTCAGGTCCCTCAAGAAACACCATTCCATGGTGTGGGCAGCCGGGAAGTGGCAACCGCCCTCATACCCGCACACGAGACTGATGTCAAAATTAAATTCTAAAAAAATTATTTCTGAACACAGTTCAATAAAAAAGATATCACAGATGTGAATCTTTGCTTTGTTCAATGTTAGGCAGCAATTAAATAGAGTTTATGAATAGTCATGAAGTTACTGCTAATTTAAATTAATCCGCCATATCTCAGTAAAAAGTCACAGAAAATTCTTTGACTTTCAGTTTATTCCCGTCAGTTTTATTTTTACAATATTCAGCTGAACCTAAAACATATTGTCATCAGGTTGTTAGGAAACAATTCATGGGAGAAAAATATTCACTCAGAGGAAGAAGAAGGCGGGAGCGATTTTAATGCAACCAGACGATGTCTCATCAGTATCTCAAATGTAACATCAATCTTAGAGTTGCAGTCTGTAGATCGAAACCGATAAAAGTCGATATCGATAAGAACAGTCACATATACTATAAACAAGTCAATGTTATCAAAAAAAGATTTCACATCATTACATTGGAGTAGGCTACCTATGGTGAGTGTTACTCTCGTCACTAGGTACGCTTTAAGATATTACGAGTTCACCTTAGTCGATAAACGGCAACGAGACAATGAACCAGCGTCCAGATAGGCTACCTTGAATCCCAAGCTATAAGCAGAAGTCTTTGTAAGCGTAGAAAGTATATTCTACAAACACCCAGCACTCACAATACAATCAAGCATACAACTCTCGTTTATTTATACATCATAGAAACGTCCTTGGGACAGTTACGTAAATAGCACACTAAAATACACAGCAGTCAATCACAGCCATGGATTTTCCTGATGGGAATTGTGATCCCAAGGTCAGCTGATCAGCCCATGCTCGCAAACGTGAAATCCAAAACAAGGCATTTATGAAGCGAGTTCTAGGAATCTAACATCCACAATAGTGAGCAAACATCTAACTCTTTGGACTGTTTATTTTTCTTTTCAATCGTCTATAATTATATCCTAAAAAAGGGTTATTGCATAATGTAGTCAGTAAGTGATGTCTATCAGCTATAGATGTTTGATCGTATGATATGGTAAATGTGTTGCGGCAGTAAGTTATCGATTAGTTGGTGCGTTAAATGCTTCTCATTTTAATTAGCACAAATCAGATTGTAAATAAATCATATAAAAAGAGTAATCTATTCATGTATCGTTTTGATGATATAGGCATATGGGCAGTGCACATTCACGACTCGGGGGATTTAAACCCAGGACCCTCCGTCTGCGAGTTGCAGTAGTCGTGGATGCGCACTGCTAATGAACCCCATAGCAGGATGAATAGGCTGTCCAGTCTTCCAGGTTTCTAACGGTGGTCTAACATTGATCGATTCATGATTTCAAAAAGTAACCCAGCAACCTTTATAACCTCATAATGGAAATTACTCGTACTCAGTGGTGACTAGCTCCATGAAGAAGTTTCTCCGAGTTCTAGTGAAAAGTCGTAACCAGTGGAGTCCGACCCTGTTTGGGTTTGAAGCAGTGTTCACCGAATACAATGGATGAGGTTGTGGAAGACCTTAATTTCCACACAGTTTTGACAAAGATAGGTAACTTCATATATTTTTCCCATTTAGACTGTGTGAACAGGTATTAAAACCTTATTTTACTTTTGATTTAATCACTATTCACAGAATCAAGTTTAAAAACGTTCCATGTATACATGCATTTGTAAACAATGATAAAAAAAATCAACTGAAAACAGTTCTTTTCGTTGAATTTCACATTTTTATTGTTAGATCAGTCTATAATATAAATGAGTTAGATTTTGGGACTTTTATGAAACTTTCAGATGGACGATCTGGACTTCGCAGATGACCTACCTCTTCTATCGCACACTCAACAACAAATGCAAGAGAAGACGACCAGTGTAGCAGCAGCCTCTGCAGCAGTACGTCTCAACATACATAAGGGAAAAAGCAAAATCCTCCGATGCAGCACAACATGCACCAACCAAATCACTCTTGATGGAGATGCCTTGGAGGACGTTAACACCTTTACATATCTGGGGGGGGCATCATCGACAAGAAAGGTGGATACGATGCAGATGTGAGGGCGCGGATCGGCAAAGTAAGGGCTAAATTTCTACAGTTGAAAAATATCTGGAACTCCAAACAACTTTCAAACAAAACCAAAATCACGATTTTCAATACAAATGTGAAGACAGTTCTACTGTATGGAGTGGAAACATGGAGAACTACCAAAACCATCATACAGAAGATACAAGTGTTTATGAACAGTTGTCTACGCAAAATACTTCAGGTTCGTTGGCCAGACACCATTAGCAACAACAAACTGTGGGAGAAAACAAATCAGATTCCAGTGAAGGAGGAAATCAGGAAGAAGCGGTGGAAGTGAATAGGACACACATTACGAAAAGCACCTAACTGCATCACGAGACAAGCCCTCACATGGAACCCTCAAGGCAAAAGGAAAAGAGGAAGGCCAAGGAATACATTACACCGAGAAATAGAGAAAGATATGAGTGAAATGAACAAACATTGGACAGAATTGGAGAGGTAAGCCCACGACAGAGTTGGTTGGAGTAAACTGTTGGGTGGCCTATGCTCCATTGGGTGTAACAGGCGTAAGTAAGTAAGTAAGTAATATGAAAGGAATTTTTCTATCAGGGGATTAGACATTCAGTAATTTCAGAATGATTATTATTATTATTATTATTCGATAATCTACCATTCTACTTACTTGTTTAAATGGAGCAGTCATTGTATTCGCTTTGAATGGTCTTTTCATTTTAGCTGCAGCTGATGGCAATGAAGCTGTGCCATCAAATACAACATTAATCAATCTATTGATTGAATGAAATAGGCAAAGTATTCAAATTAAAATTTTCATTTACATAAATAAACAAACGAGTATTATTTGAAAAAGCAGTAACCAATAACGTTAAAAGTGGATCGTTGCAGTGAAAAACAACTGTTAATATTTACATCTGTTTAAACTAAGAATAGTTATCTGGTTATTAATATGTACTGAAAACTTTGTTTACGTTAAATTCCATTCACGGTGACCATAAAAAGTTGATTAACATATTGCAACAACCATTAACTCGGGTGGCATTTCAAAAATATTTTTTTGTATGTTTAGGGATTAAAGGTAGTTGACAGAGCCAACATAAACCTGGGAAACCACTACCCTAAAACTAAACACAGTTCACTCAATGTTGAGTCACTTACTCTAGTGATGACTACATTACAATTTATTGGCAGAATTCAATCTGCACTTAGGAGGACTTTATATTCATGACATCAGTCCACAACTCAATGACTGATCAACCGTAAACGCAATATTTTTCATATTTACTACATATAAGACTACCTTTAAAGCAACAAGTAGAAATTAATTTTTATAACTTTTCATTATAAGAATCATTGAGTGACGGTTGATGAGGAGCAGTAAATGGCTTAAATCTAGCTGATTATATGTACACAGAAATTAAAATATCTAACCAATTTAAACAATATTGATTTAAATCTTTGGTAAGACCTTGAAAGTTTGTATAAATAGTCTTCTATAAGATAACATGATTATCTATCAGTATAATATCTATGAGAAGCATGAATCAGTCATAGAGTAAATAAAATTCATTATAGTATAAACCATTTTATCGTGATTATTGTTGGATAAATCAGTCTGATTTGTTTTCTTAAATAAATGAAAATATTACTATGTAAAAGAGTTAAGTTTAACAAAGATTCGCTCAGCGGTTAAAAGGTTAAGAGATTGTGTGCGCGGAAGCTAAGGTTCTGGGTTCGGATCCCACTTTCAGGATAACGGATGCACACTGTTGTCCAGTGCTTCCAGGTTTCTAATGGTGGTCTAACATTGATCGATTCATGATTTCAATTATTTAATGATTAACAATATTTTTTGCGTATATATAATTTATACATTTTTGAAACTACGAATCGATCGATGTTAGACCACCATTAGAAACCTGGAACCACTGGACGGCCGTTTCGTCCTGGTATGGGACTAACTAACAGTGCGCATCCACGACTCCTGCTCCTCGCAGGATTCGAAACCAGGACCTTCGGTATTGTGCGCGAACGCCCTAACCGTTAGGCCACTGAGCCGGTATCTAACGGTGTTAATGTCTAACTTGATCAATTCACGGATTTGCGCAACCTCATACACAGTCTTCGGTAGACACTGCCTACATCCGATCAGGTTGAACTTCACTGGTCACGTCTTCCCACTAGAACTCGGAGAAGATTCCTCACGAAGCTAGTCACTAGTGAACACAGGTAATGTGCATTACGGGGTTGAGAAGATTGTTAAGTTACACATTTTTGAAACCATGAATCGATCAATGTTTGACCACCATTAGAAGAAACCTGGAAGCACTGAAAGACAGCCGTTTCGTCCTGGTATGGGACTCCCCAGCAGTACGTACATGTAATTTGTCCTAATTTTCACAATAGAAACTTTAATTTTCAGGAAAAAAAAACTGTAGATATTTATTTACTTAATTAATATTTGTCCATTTTTTAAAGCAGCGGCAACATTTTCTCTACCAAATGGTACATTTTCATTGGTCAATTGATTTAACCAACCGATAGCTTCAGCTTCACTCTCGGCATCATATTTACTATTCAACTGAAATAAACAACAATAGAAACACACAGATGGAAGATTTCAATAACAAATTAAAAGTATAATTGACAAAGTAACTCATTCTTGAAGAAAGTTAAATTTTTCAAAGTAATTTATACTCAAATATAACAGTACACAATAACTATTCATTAATAAAAGTTTGACTCCGCCTGAAACCCTTCTAGGTTTAACATCTGTCCTAGGCCCTGATAAAGAAGGAGGGTTTGGCATGGGGTTCGCGACCACATCCCGTAGAAATCCAACTTGCTAAAAACAAACGCTAACCAGAAAAGTAATTCGCTTGTCGACGACCTATGCTCCATTGAGAGTAAGTAAGTAAGTAAGTAAGAATATAGCTTCGGAAAACAAAACTCTCATTTGTACTATTGACAGGAGGTTACTTCATATTTCATTGTCTAATCACTGATCTAATCGGCCTAAGAAATAACTGAATAATTTCACAGTAATTCATTCTATCCACTGATGATGGAAATCCTCTACGGTGTTTTTTATGCCTAATTTTCTTTCACAGTTTTATTGAAACAAATTTATTTCCCTTGTGAAAAGAGATGAATTTTTAATACCAGTGATCTAAACAGCAATGTTCTTTTTACAATATTTGGTACTTCAGGCTAAAAACTACTTATTCATGTATAGAATACTTCAAAGTTCAAAAGTCAGTTGATTAGAAGTTATTCTAACGTATTTTATGATGGTGGAGAAGATTTGTAGCTCAGGTGGATGATTGTGGTGGTGGTGTTTGGTTCTCTGAGCTGGATGTTTTGGTTGTGGAGCTTTGACTGTTGTTCTGAACAACTTCATCAGCACAAACTTCAGATAGAAGAAGTGAAGCATCCGAATTTCTCCACGTTTGACCTGTAGCTTGTTCTGCTAACCTCGATCTTGATTGGTTGCTGTTGACCTAACGCATGTTTGTTCATGTAAACTTTTCCGCAGAGGATATCCAATTTTTAAAACAGTCTGAAATATATTCAGATAATCATAACATATATGACATCTGCTGTTGTAGAAAACATTCTTGTAGTAATTTCCCAATGATCATGAATCGTTCGCTCTCAGATAAATAGTAAATCAAATCGACATTTACTTATTTCAATTAGATAACTTTTATGTAACACTGGCTTTAAAATCACAATGTAAGAATATTCTCATGCATAAAACCAGAGTTTTCTTCCAAAAACACTCAATGGTACTACTGTTTCAATCGATAGTTAAGTTTAGTTCTTATTTATTAGGAATGAAACAATAACTGTGAACGTACTGTAGCTTTAACGTACTCAAAACAGCCATTACACCAAGTGTAAGATAATATGGGAAATAGATTTTATGTTTGCGATTTTTAAATTTCTTAGTACTTGTTAGTACTATAATTAAGAGGCTTATATGATCTTGTGTGAATCTATCGTTTTGTGTGAGTTTTAATACTGATTAGCAGATAGGCAGTCGATAGGCAAATGACATGATACACAATCGTAAATTATGAAATAACACCTAGCATCTTCGTACCTCTCCGTGTTGATAGTTTAGTTATTCTTTATTTTACAAGTTGTATTCTATTCAAACTCGTACGTTACCTTTTACCACCGTATCATTGTTCAGCAGTTATTGACGAGTATTACTGAATAGATTCTATGATTAGGTGCTTAAAGTTACAATCCTTGTTCATGGTATCTTAGTTGTACATATCATAATAAGAAGGTTATATCGTATGACATGAATTAAATTTACGTACCATATCATTTGAATTTAAAAAAATAATTTATTCAAGTTAATATTTTAACATTTAACTTACTCGACGATTAATCTGTACATCCATACCCATATCGCTCATTCGAGTAGCCATTTTTTCAAAATTGAGTATATTGTTTTGTTTGTTATAGTCTTTTGAGAAATTCTGAAGAGTTTAGAAAAATAAGTTCAGATGTACGACGCTATTCGACTACAAATCTTATTAGGGAAAAATATATTTCTGGTTGAAATAATTGGCAACTTCTTAAAGTGTATAGTCTACCGTTTCCTATCAATACTTTTCTGTGTAACCTTGAAAAATTTTTCGAGATTATTTATGTGACTTGTCGAATAGAACTGTTTATCAATGTTTGCTTGTTATGTGTACTATACACTTTCAGTTTAGTGTGCAATAAAGTCTATTTCTTTTTTCCCCTTAAAAATCATATCTGATCGATTTCAGATTCATTTCTTGTAAAGTTAAACCTTCCCTTCATTCACAGCCAAACCAATCATTATGGACAATAGAGAAATTTAGGACAGTTAGAAGAGAAATTTATACATTTCAAATAGGTGGGCTTCATTTATCCAACCTTTTCCTTTTTCATGTGCATATAGAGAAGACAATCATAAGCACATAGAACACAGATAAGGAAAATTAAGGATAGACATACAAATTCTAGACATGTATATTTTGTCACTAGACTATTGATATTACAACGCTGGGATTACGGAACAATTTTCACTGACTTGGCAATGTGATAATATGAACACAGTGTTCCAAGCTAAATATTTAGCCCTAAAGTATATCACTTAAATGAATAGTTTTTATATTAATCCATCTTTTAATGTCATACACTAAATTGTGTACTTTTACACATTACAACAATGATGTTTATAGATAATGTATTCTGATTAGGAAACTTAAAGGCTGACTTTTATTATGAGACAATATTGTTTAGAAATTGTAGAGGTTAGGCATTAGCATGGAGGATCGAAGGTCCTGGGTTCGAATCCTGCGGGTAGCAGGACTCGTGGATGAACACTGCTGAGGAGCCCCTTATCAGGACGAAACGGCCGTCCAGTACTACTACTTTCGTAATACTGATCTAACAATCACTGGTTCACGGTTTCAGTAATAAAGAATACTGAAATCTAGAACAAATAAGGATTAGTTTGCAAATTATGATTCACGGGAAGTTTTTGTAAATATGCCTAACTACTCTGTAATATTCGCTTTAATATGTTGTTGATGTCCTCACCTGGGTTTTCGTGCCACCATCAGCATCAACTTACTGTGGAAGAGAACAAACCAGATTCCCAGAAAAAAATAATTATCAGGAATGAAAATCAGTTTCAATAGATTTATTATGTGACTTAAATGTTTTAGATTTGATTCATGACAGCATTTTTGTTCATGTTAAATATAGGAAAGTTGTAAACTATTCTATGAATTTTCATCATAGAGTTATGTAGTATGTTGTTTGAGTTAGACTGTTCAGACTTCAGTTCACTTTACGTTACCTACAAATCGCCTTCTGTTCTTATTCTTTCCTTCTCGATCTTTTGCTGTCAGACGTTTGATTTCCATTCGATATCATATACTACTTATTTGAACATAAGTAGCGTACACCACACTCTTCCCCCCCTTTAAAAAGTTGTTTTCGCAGTCTTTCCGATCACCGTGGCCCCGTTTTCTTGATTACTGCTTGCAATTCGCACTCATTCTGCCCTTGAAACCATCTCTGCAGTTGACAAGCTGATCTGGAATTGGTACGGCGTCTACCCACCGTGTGGCATGTTCTGTCATCACCACCAGGTATTGATTGCCGCTGGCCGTCTGCGGGAACGGTCCCATCACATCCCTGACCACAGATCACCAACTGCAGTTACGGGAACTGACTGCGATGGCGGCTGTATGTATCGATTACTTTTCATTAGTTGGCACCGCTGGCAAGTCAACACATATTGCGCCACATCGTCTCTCATGCCCGGCCAAAATGCACTGTCTTACTAGATCAGTCGTTCGTGTGATACCTGTATGAGCTACCTGGTGACAATCCTGTATCATCTTATGCCGCAAGTTCTTCGGGATCACTGCGACCCATGTCAAGAAAGTTCTAATGTATTGAGGGCGGAAACTTGGAAAAATAACAAAGCCAACATCCAGAAGATACAAGTGTTTATGAACAGTTGTCTTCGCAGAAAACTTCGGATTTGTTGGCCAGACACGATCAGCAACAACCTACTGTGGGAGAGAACAAACCAGATTCCAGTTTGTTGCTTTATATCGTATAGTATGTGTAT